TGAAAGTTTATATTCGCCCGCTGTAGGACGTCTTGGGTTCATTATCAACACGGACGCCTTGACGTGAGATCGAGATATCAATTAAAAGAAATCTACACAAAAATACCGCAGTACAGTAGGTATGTGCGGGGAGGCTGGGGTTCATCATGGCGCTTAATTCAACATGGTGCTCAATTCAACATGGCGCTTAATTCAACATGGCGCTCAATTCAACATGGCGCTCAATTCAACATGGCGCTCTCTTCAACAGGGTACTAGTGCGCATTAGGAAGTCCACAGTATTAAGAGAGAAACAATCAGAGGACTCGAACATTCATTGATGTTAGACCACATGTATTTGCTAGAATAAACAAATAGAAAAAACTGAAAAGGTATGATTTTCTATCTGTATAACTTCATCTTGGAGGCAATATGTATATATATATATATATATATATATATATATATATATATATATATATATATATATATATATATATATGTATATATATATATATATATATATATATATATATATATATATATATATATATATATATATTTAGGATGTTGTCAGTTGTTACATTTGTGCCCAAGGTTGAAGCATCAGTGACCATCACATACAGCTAAAGTTCAAAGGGCCGCTTACTGCTTGTCCCAATGTTTTTAAACAAAAAAAAAAAAGAAAAACTGTTCCCAAAATATCAACTTGTTAAGAGACCTTCACCCCACCCCAACCCATGTTCGCAATCTCCATATATGCCTACTCTTATTTTAAGCTTCAAAACCTGTTTCCTGGCGTTATTAACCCCGGTATTTAAATGCCATTAACCCTGTTTTTTTTCCTAGTTACAATTTCTTCACTTTCGATCTAAATGATAAAAAACACCCAGTTAAAAAAAAGCTAAGAAAGAATTGAACAACCGATAAAACAACATCCATTACGGCCGCCCTAAGTTTCATGGGATATAAAGGTAAAAAAAAAATCTGCATGCACTTCGCGGAGCGGAACAAATAAAACCTTCTCCGCGAAGTAAAGATTCTCCGACTTTGATGCCGCAGGAGAACAGGCTTGCATCCACTTGACCCCATGGAGAACATAGGCTATAACGTCCCCAATTTCCATGCCATCTATTGCTGTGGGCTTGCCACGTGTTAAATAAGGATTTCAACTTGTAATCCCAATGATGTGTTCTACGAAAGCTAAGCCAAAGAAAAGAAAAAAAACGGCGTAAAACAAAATAAACAACAGCCATGAAAACGGACCACTGATTTTAAAAAAAAAAATCTTTCCATCAATGTTATTTTCTTTTGATTTAGGCGGCACTCTACACCTTAAAATTTTGTCATTAACTTTTTTCCCTTTAAACAGAGAAAAAAGAATACAATAAAATGCGCAGTAGATTTTTCTGTTTATCAGAAACCAAACGGCTCTTGTTTTTCCGACATTATAAATGAAGTCACGCAGTGTTCAACTTCTATTTCCCCACATTAGTGGTCCAGTGGTCCACTACATTCCCACGTCTCTCTCCCCACATTACTGGTCCGGTGGCCCACTACATTCCCTCGTCTCTCTCCCCACATTACTGGTCCGGTGGCTCACTACATTCCCTCGTCTCTCTCCCCACATTACTGGTCCTGTGGCCCACTACATTCCCACGTCTCTCTCCCCACATTACTGGTCCGGTGGCCCACTACATTCCCTCGTCTCTCTCCCCACATTACTGGTCCGGTGGCCCACTACATTCCCTCGTCTCTCTCCCCACATTACTGGTCCGGTGGCCCACTACATTCCCTCGTCTCTCTCCCCACATTACTGGTCCGGTGGCCCACTACGTTCCCACGTCTCTCTCCCCACATTACTGGTCCGGTGGCCCACTACATTCCCTCGTCTCTCTCCCCACATTAGTGGTCCGGTGGCCCACTACATTCCCACGTCTCTCTCCCCACATTACTGGTCCGGTGGCCCACTACATTCCCTCGTCTCTCTCCCCACATTACTGGTCCGGTGGCCCACTACATTCCCTCGTCTCTCTCCCCACATTAGTGGTCCGGTGGCCCACTACATTCCCCTACACCAGAACTTATTTTCCTACATCATTATAACGATTTTTTAATGATTTAACATCACATCACATGTCAGAAGTAATTCATGAAATTCGTTGTTAAATTCATGAAATTCGTTGTTAAATTGTAACTTTAGTCTTGACAACATCACTGCGACGTATGTCGAAAAATTAGAGAAACCACTCAGGTTTTTTCTTGTTTACACGTAAAGAGTCTAAAAAAACATTGTATGTGCTCTTGGGAGAAAAACTTGGTACTGGAAATCTGGATCAGTAACGTAATTATTATACTGGTTTGTCCAATGTGGTACTGTGATTAAAAAAAGACGAGTTGTTCAAGAAGTTTACACTTGCGACATGTATACTATACATGTCTAGAAATAAAACACTTCGCAATAAGTGAGTAGACTCCCCGATTATGTTCTGGTAAAATTAACTTATGGCGAAGTTTTTTTTTCTAGACGTGTATAGTATACATGTGAGGGATGGCGTGGCCTAGCGGTAGAGAGTTAAGCTGCTAACCCGAAAGGTTCCAGTCCGTACAACGTCCCTGAGTCCACCCAGCTTACACTAGAATGGAGGCTGGGGCTAGTGCTGACTACACTATCCCTTCAAATCCCTGAAACATATGAACTCTACTTCATCTGCCCCAAATTCAAATGTAAACGCGGTGTTAAAGAAAAATTACATCTTGAGCTTGCAAATCTAGAGACGGTCGTGCAGTTCGTCTTTAATTAACATTGTTTGTGTTGTGGGATTTCTTAAATATAAAATAAAAAGTTTAAAACGACGATCAAGATCAAGAAGTTTCAGAGATAGCAGAGGGACCCCTTTAACACCATTTTGTCTTTTAAAAGAGCGCATTCTAATCGTCACTTTAGATCTCAATTTGTCAAATAAATTAATCTTTGTATTTTGGTTTATTATTTGTGTCTCACCCCCAAGTTGACCCATCCAAAACTAAATAAACATGGGAACATCTCTCAATTGATTATCACTGAAAGATTACCTGACATAAATACCACTCAAAACTTATCTTACGTAATTACCACTTCAAACTAAATAGACTTAGTTAAAATTTAGAAGACTGAGCTGACCTAGTTACCAGCTCATGGTTTCCTGGCCTAGTTAGTACGTCGCGTTAATGGAAACCTGCTTACAAGTGTGTATTTAGAGTGGTGCATAAGGTAGGTGGAACAATTGACTGCTAACCCGAAAGTCTCGAGTTCGAATCCGGGTTCAAGTCAGCAGAACCTCCCTGAGTCTGCCCAGTTCGGATGGGTACATAAATCATGTCAATGAAAGTAAAGGCGGCTGGGTATAGTGCTGACCACACTATCTCTTCTTATGCTTAGGTCACAGAAACAACTCAACTCCACTTACCCTATAGACCGTCAGGTTTGAAAGGGTACTTTAAGACAGTGTCATTCCAAAGAGACACTGTCTTACTTCACACAGTCCATTATATTATTTATCAACTGCTCCCATTTCTTCTAGTTGTTACCAAGTAATAACAACATCACCATAAGTATCAGCGAGAAAGCTTGTTTCTATCCACAATACATAAGAGATTGCCGAACTAAACATTACATAACCTGTTTACTTCTCGTTTTAACAGAAACCTTATACTATATATTTTAAACCCGAGCGCGCACTTAACTTAAGGAAGACGGTTAAGAAAACAGAGGAAATCAAATTACTTGTATCCCCCGGTATAATTTTACTGATTACGTTTTCTAAAGGTTTAAATTGGGCTGGAATGGGGTTGGCCCTGCCAGAAACGGCAACCAGGAGTGATGCGTTGAGACAAATTAAAGAACGTCCTTGACATTCATGACAAACGTTTGAAGACGGCGTACTTTAATGGGGAGGAGAAAAAAGTGACTGGCCTTAACCTAGATCGGTTTCCAATCAAGTCGTGGATTACCTGGGGCTAACTGATCCAGTCATAGAGGGGGAGGGAGGGGGGATCTTGGTAAGAGGCGGTGGTCATAATTGGAGGGTGGGGGTGTGGTGGGGTGGGGTTATTGAAGTAGGGGTGGGGGAGGAAATATGTGGGTGAAGCGTGTAATAGATTTGTGACGAGGGTATCTTTTTCGTCCTTAATTTCTACACGGAAGAAATCTTATAACTTGACGACATAATGATGTGTGTCTGAGGATAACATGAGGAATATCGATACACTCATTTAGAGAGCATTCATCTCTAATTGCGTTCATAGTGTGGTTGTGGGGGTGTGGGTGGTTGGTGGTATTCATAGTGGGGAATAATAATTGGGTATCTAATGGTGGTGGATTGGATACACCTGGGGACAGTTGGAGAGACTAGTCCAGGACAGAGATGTCTGGAAAGCTCTGTATAAATAATGTGTGTGAGATGTGCGCAGGTGTGTGAGTGTGTGGAACATGTGGGGACATCTTTGTGGTATAGCCAGGCAGCAATGACTGTATCGACGTATCCAATGCTTCGTCTACCGATGGACAGAGATCGTATAGACTTATAAATAAACGCCGAATTATAAACGATATTTTAAATGGAAAATTATTATTGGGTTCTTGTAGTCTGCAGTATCAGAGCTACATCCCCTAAGACATGTCTGTAATGCTAGTTACATACTATAATATCTGTCAGATTTAAACCCCTAAATTTTTATTTTTTTGCAAAGCCAGAGTTATATCCCTTAAGATCTGAGTTACTTCACACAATATATCTCTGTAATGTTAGAATTACATCCCCTAAAATCTGTTGCATCTAATAAGATGTCTGAGTTACATCCCCTAAGATCTATTGTGACAAGTGTACCAAACAACTTCCACGGAATTTTTCAAACACCGAAAACGAAAGTAAAACACGATCTATTGGTTTTGTCGCCACACAAATAAACGAAAAGTAACGTGTTATATTGCTAAAAACAAACATTGTGTGCGGACTTTGACAGGTGCACGAGATACTCACATCGATCTGTTTCTTACAGGTAAACGATGGCGTTGAAAGGGGCGGGCAGTTCAGCTCATTCTTTATTTCTGTGGAGGGAGACAGATTTTGGTTGGTTGTGGGAAAATTTTGACTCAGTGGCATCATGGAAATTTTGTTTTTGGTGGGGTTTTAAAACGTCGAAACTACATGTAGCAAAACTGTCCTGTCAAAATGCCCGTCAAATAAACCCCGCCAAAAGGGACAGAGACAAATGAACGTCGTCATATGGGCTTCTGATTATAGGGCTCCCGTCAATAGGACTTATGACAAAATGGTTTCTTTCATCACGACTCTAGACAAATAGGGTCCTGTGATTTAGGACCCTGAAAAATAGGCACCATCATTTTGGCTCTCATCAAAAGGGATCCCGCTAATAAGGCTTCCAACAAAAGGGTTTAGGTCATTAGGACCTTATACAAAACGGCCCCTGTCAATACGCAATTTAGACGCCATAACGGCGTTAGATATTTTTTAGTGTTGGTTAAAAGGGATGGCAGTCTTAGCAGGTAGTTAGGAAACGTTAAGTCTCAGAGTCTGATTGGTTACAGATCAATTGTCATTGTAGTCGTGTTATCAAAACGATGAATATAGCTATTGCTATTTACACAACACACCTAATGCTAGATAAATTTGCGATCTAGCGGACTCATTTTTTCCGCCTATTGAAAAAAAAATAATTTCAAAACATACTTTTGGTTTTATTGACCTTCTATTTATACCGGTAGCAAAAAATGTACCACTATTTTTATGTAAGATGTAAAATAATAATTATTTATTTTCCTCTCAAATATAAACAATTATTTCGTACCAACAAAAGCAATATATCATTTGCGTGCCCGCTATGATACAAAAACAACCAGCCTCTACTCCAGTAAACAACAGGACATAGAATACATAGAGCCCTACTCCAGTAAACAACAGGACATACATAGAGCCCTACTCCAGTAAACAACAGGACATACATAGAGCCCTACTCCAGTAAACAACAGGACATACATAGAGCCCAACTCGAGTAAACAACAGGACATACATAGAGCCCTACTCCAGTAAACAACAGGACATACATAGAGCCCTACTCCAGTAAACAACAGAACATACATAGAGCCCTACTCCAGTAAACAACAGGACATACATAGAGCCCTACTCCAGTAAACAACAGGACATACATAGAGCCCTACTCCAGTAAACAACAGGACATACATAGAGCCCTACTCCAGTAAACAACAGGACATAGAATACATAGAGCCCTACTCCAGTAAACAACAGGACATACAAAGAGCCCAACTCCAGTAAACAACAGGACATACATAGAACCCTACTCCAGTAAACAACAGGACATACATAGAGCCTTACTCCAGTAAACAACAGGACATACATAGAGCCCAACTCCAGTAAAAAACAGGACATACATAGAGCCCAACTCAACAACAAGACATAGAATACATAGAGCCCAACTACAGTAAACAACAAGACATAGAATACATAGAGGCCAACTCAACAACAGGACATAGAATACATAGAGCCCAACTACAGTAAACAACAGGACATAGAATACATAGAGCCCTACCCAACGTTTCTTGTGGCTAATAAAACCGATAAGAGTTTCTTGGCGTCCCCAAGCTTGTTTTGTCGTCTGCTCCGGGCGACAGTTGGTCGCAGATGTGGACAATAAAACTCGTTAAACAAAGCCCTCGTGACACATTGCTTAAGTTAAGGGTTACCGGGGGAGGGGGGGAGCGACGGTCGGGGATGTCGCGCTAAAAATACACCATTGTCAATATACCAAACAGAACCTGTTGGCTTTGTTATCGTATTGACGACGAAAGTGCAATTGGATTGAATATGCACGTACAAAAGATGTCACATGTAGCCACACACACACACACACACACACACACATATTTATATATATATCTATATATATATATATATATATATCTATATATATATATATATATATATATATGTATTTATATATGTATATATGTATATATATATATATATATATATATATATATATATATATATATATATATATATATATATATATATATATATATATATATATATATATATATATATATATATATATATATATATATATATATATATATATATATATGGTGAGAAAGAAGTTGTAGAGATGGCATGAAGGGGACTTGTTGACAGAAATTCTTTGAGAAGTGGGGGGGGGGGTTGTTCGCTGATTGTGTGTTAAAATTTCCGAGACCAGTTTGACATGAATAATTGACACATCCATACTGAGTCTGGGCAGAATACTGAAAGACTCTCTCGTCTGCTTGAAGGTGAGGGGGGGGGGGGGGGGCGTACAAGATGGAGTGAGAGTGGGTGCGGAGTGGGGGTGTTGAGGTTGGTCTAAGACTGTCTTGACTTGAAGTGTACTCTTGGCTGACCGGGGCAGTGTTGGCCGTCAGTTCTGGTAGGCACACCTTATAAAAGGCCGGCATCGATTTTTGTTGCTGTCGCGTCATTAGAGAGGTGGTGATGGATGGCGGAGATGGTATTAAAAATACACGGGGTTTTCGGTTAGCCGTACGCAAATACCTTCATAAAACGTAGGCGACAGCAACACGTTATCCATACATTTAACCTTAACTTTAAACCTCTTTATGTTAGCCTTCGACTATACTTAAATATTAACTTGAAACTTCCTCCTAAGAAATAAAACTCACACTAAAGCTAACTATAGCCCAAATATAAACCGTAATTTTTGACATTAAATCTAACTATAACCCTAACACCTAAGCTATGCATTTTGTCTTTATCAAGAATAATTTAAAAATCTGTTATAATCAAACAGCAATCACCAAATTGAACGGACGGATAAAAAATATTTTCAAAACAAACCAACCTAAACAACGCAATCACATCTGAAAAACTAAAGCAATGTTTACAAATCTCAGCAGATAGCAACGTATCAGGGTTGGTTCGCATGAACACCAACACAATTAATTAGCCTCGCTAGAATTAATTACCTCAGATATGCACCGCCATCTAATGAAAACTCACTGTGCATGTAACACATGCCGTGTGCATCTTTAATTAAACACACCATATTAATTTCTACAAACATTAAACAAAAAATACCATCGTATTACCTTACTGCTGTAGGAATACCTTGGTACTATCATAAAGACTAAATGAGAATCAAAACTTTATTGGTGTATCCGCCCCTCGTTAGAAAACTTGATCAAGTCCGTACGCTTGTGCTGTGGGATGCGGGCTGGCAATGTTCGCCCGATTGGCGAACCATGCTGTCCGACCACCCGTCTTCAACGCTCTACACCGTCGTCTTGTAAACAACTCTGTTTACCACTTCACTACCCCCACCCCTCTAATTCCCCCCACCCCCGTCCCCACCCACCCCCGTATCTAAAACAACCCCCACGATGCGCAGTTTGTCCTTCTCATCGCAAAGCCATCTGCTGCCGTCACACGCCACTACAACAACACCTACATCACCGCCGTCACACGCCACTACAACAACACCTACATCACCGCCGTCACACGCCACTACAACAATACCTACATCACCGCCGTCACACGCCACTACAACAATACCTACATCACCGCCGTCACACGCCACTACAACAATACCTACATCACCGCCGTCACACGCCACTACAACAACACCTACATCACCGCCGTCACACGCCACTACAACAACACCTACATCACCGCCGTCACACGCCACTACAACAATACCTACATCACCGCCGTCACACGCCACTACAACAATACCTACATCACCGCCGTCACACGCCACTACAACAATACCTACATCACCGCCGTCACACGCCACTACAACAACACCTACATCACCGCCGTCACACGCCACTACAACAACACCTACATCACCGCCGTCACACGCCACTACAACAATACCTACATCACCGCCGTCACACGCCACTACAACAATACCTACATCACCGCCGTCACACGCCACTACAACAACACATACATCACCGCCGTCACACGCCACTACAACAATACCTACATCACCGCCGTCACACGCCACTACAACAACACATACATCACCGCCGTCACACGCCACTACAACAACACCTACATCACCGCCGTCACACGCCACTACAACAACACCTACATCACCGCCGTCACACGCCACTACAACAATACCTACATCACCGCCGTCACACGCCACTACAACAACACATACATCACCGCCGTCACACGCCACTACAACAATACCTACATCACCGCCGTCACACGCCACTACAACAACACATACATCACCGCGGTCACACGCCACCACAACAATACCTACATCACCGCCGTCACACGCCACTACAACAATACCTACATCACCACTAGATCTTCAATCAATATTTATTATCTAACACCCATACAAAAGGATCTACTAATCAATCACCAATACAAAACGAATGCTTTTAAAACTAGTTTTAAGACGTTTTTCTGTATAATACCATCCTTACTTATACAAAAATGTAATACTGTTGTTGATTAAAGTAAAGTAACTAAGATCTCTTTAATTTATTTAAGAAAAAAAATTAATTGGTCATTTAATTAATGAATAGATAATGGTATACAATTGAATGGTATTTTAATTGCTGATAGTTTAAGTGTTTATTTTTTTTCATTGACTTTTAGTGGTGGTATTTTTATTGACCAAAATTGGCAGCGATTTAGTGGTGTAGAAGTCGAGTGATTGTATACGTTTTTTGAAGGTTTAAAATTAATTAGTGAGTCACTTTGTTTCAGACATCTCTAAAGTAACATGATGAGGTCTGACTTGTGAAGTGTGAAGTGTGAAATGTGAAGTGTGAAGTGTGAAGTGAATTGAATTATAGTATTGCGAGGTGTGAGACGGCAAAAATTAAAGATGGAGTGACCTTTAACGTGATTTTTGTGTGGCTTTTGGTGGGTTTTTCATTGATCTGTTGTGTAGATTTTGTGGAATATTAAGTGGTTTTTATAAAACCTTTAGAATGGCTTTTAGTTTCAGACAAAGGTAATGGAAATGGCATTTGTCTCGCTGTTGGCTTAAGAATTAAAATACATAACGTTTGGATTGTTTCACTTTTCAAATGTCGAAAAGTATCTTGAAGGTTTGTTTTTTTAAATATTTGCCGTTCTGTAAATAAATAACGTTAATATCGAGGAACTTTCAACAAAGCCTATCCTTGGCGAGTACATCCATCAAACTGATATAAAAACAGCTCAAATTAGCCACAAAATTATACTGTCTTGTAAACACAACTTGTTTTTAAATAATAAGCGGGTATACAGAAACAAAGTGCATAATCTAAAAATATACAACAAAAATATTTCTCGGATGAAACCAGTCACTTTTGTGAGTACTTGGGCGCAGGCGAAATCATAGCACGTAACTGGATTAGTGTAAAGTTGCCCCAAACAAGTTGCCCTCGTCTCGGCATTTCTCGTTCAGCGTTTGATCTCGCGAGAACTGTGTGAGACTTCTGGAGAATTCAGTGCATGTTCAGACAAGTTGTTTTGGAGGGTGGAAGGTAGCGAGACGTGTGAGTTTAAATTACGCATCAATGCTGGATTAATCAAAGAGTTGAAACAAGAATGGATATGGATATTATAAGTGTGGTGGTCGATTTAAAGGAGGGATCTAATCTCATGTTTGTGGTGGAGGTTCGAATCTAAGTGAATTGGGTTCAGTGTTTCTTCTAGACTTTTTTCTCCGGGGGGGGGGGGGGGCACTTGAAATTTTCGGCGGGGGGGGGGGGGGTAAACTTTCTTCGGGGGGGGGGGGGGGTGGGGGGCGGACGCTATTAAAATTATATATTTTCTATATAAATTATATAAATTTCATTTGGTTCGGGGGGGGGGGGGGGGCGGTAAAAATTTTTTCGGAGGGGGGGGGGGGTTAGCCCCCTGAAGAGATGCCTGGAAGAAACTCTGATTGGGCTTTGACTTGAGATATCTTCGATATAATATAACGAAAGTTGAAAAGTTTGAGACTCGGCTATCAAAATATATGAAAACAACAATCACAACAACAAGTAAAATCATTCAGTATTGTTTACTAAATTAAATGTTAATATAGAAAAACTATTCAATAAATAGACAATGTCGATGTAAAGGTTTATATTCTAAAGACAAGCTGAACAGGTAGAGCTCGGGAAAGGTAGAATTTTTACAGGTAAGGTTGAAGTAAGACTCAAGCAGGCAAATCAGACGTCGATTAAAGAGTTATAAACCACATATTGAATTGGTAGAGTTGAAGTCTTAGGAGAAACAAGGGGGAGTTTACCTGCTGAAATCCAATGACCACCCCACTCCCACCTCCCCACACATACCGCGTAATGACCACACACACACACACACACGCACACACACACGCACCACGCAACTAATAAACACATTATCCAACTCTATCTCGCACACACAAGAACCACACACAACAGCACCATAAACTACATCACACAAACACACACACACACACACACACACCGCCTAACCACCACACACACAACCCAACAAGCACACCACCCAAATATCAACAAACACTACCACTCAACAACCACACACCCACACCACCACCTACCAAGTACCCACACACACCACACAATGATTGTACTATCTATTACTTTTGTTTATTCCCGAACATTATTCGCTACTACGCCATCGAATCACCGAAGAACCACCAAAACACCAGGACACTCATATTGTTTCGACAGTAAGCCTTCATCAAAAATAAGAAACACTGATCCCAAAACAAAAACTAAAACCAACCAATCACACTATAAATTTTTTTTTTGGACATCTGATATTTTTCAGATTTCTGAACAGTTACTTTTTCGACATCTGATGTTTTTTTAGATTTCTGAACATTTACTTTTTGGACCTCTGATATTTTCAGATTTCTGAACATTTACTTTTTGGACCTCTGATATTTTTCAGATTTCTGAACATTTACTTTTTGGACCTCTGATATTTTTCAGATTTCTGAACATTTACTTTTTGGACCTCTGATATTTTTCAGATTTCTGAACATTTACTTTTTGGACCTCTGATATTTTTCAGATTTCTGAACATTTACTTTTTGGACCTCTGATATTTTTCAGATTTCTGAACATTTACTTTTTGGACCTCTGATATTTTCAGATTTCTGAACATTTACTTTTTGGACCTCTGATATTTTTCAGATTTCTGAACATTTACTTTTTGGACCTCTGATATTTTTCAGATTTCTGAACATTTACTTTTTGGACCTCTGATATTTTTCAGATTTCTGAACATTTACTTTTTGGACCTCTGATATTTTTCAGATTTTTGAACATTTCTCGACGATTTCCACACCATTTGTTTTACTTCTCAGTTTAAATAAAATCAGTTTCTTTTTTCCCTCAACAACAGAGCTGAACATTAATCAGGCAATTAGGCAAAGTACAGGAAACGGATGAGCCATTTTCCAAATTTTGTCAAGTGGCAGAAACTCAAAGTGAAATACGGTCCATAATTTAATACTGTCTATATCAAGTGGAACTTGTTAAAAGGTTCTTAGTTCCAACAAAACAATGCAAGTAGACTAAACCTAGAAGTTTTTTTTAAAATGACGTTTTTAAAGTGCTTTCAAATTTGGCGTATATAAAAGTGATTTCTACTGGGATAGTTGTTAATAATCAAACCACATTAAACTAGAGATAATAGTTTAATCATAAAAAAATCTAATCAAACGGCACATTAGGATAAATACTAGATAAATAGGATATTAGAATTTATCCTAGAAAATTGGGATATAGCAATTCATAAAATAAAAAAAAAGATGTGAATTTATCCTAGATAAAAGTGATACAATTATTTTTAAGGATAAGATTGATATGTAAATTTAGACCTAACAAAAGGAATACGTGAATAAATTTGAGGAATGGAATGCACCTATAAGAATGGGATGCACCTATATGAATACGATACACCTATTTGGAACGGGTTGCACCTATATGAATGAGATGCACTTATATGAATGGGATGCAACCATTATGAAATAGAATGCACCTTTATTGATGGGATGCACCTATATGGGTGGGATGCACTTATATGAATGGGATGGTCCTACACATCCTAAATGTTCATCAAGGCTACATCGGTGTCTCTACTAGACTTAAACAAAAAAATCGAGAGATTAAATAGTAAAACACACGGTGACTAACCTGAAAATCCCAAGTTTTGGTCCCCGGTTTAACATTGTGTTTAAGGTTCCTGAGTTTACCCAGTTCTAAACGATACCCAACACGAGTTGGTGAGTAAACTC